GAATGCTGGGGTGGGGGGTGGGGCCTGCATGAGCTCATCACCGGTGTCTGCTGGGGCTTCCTGCCCCGGCTGCCAGTGGGGGTGAGTCAGCCAGTGATGGTTAGGGGTCCTCTGTGCCCCCTGGGCCCTGGGGTCTGGTCAGGGGAGCCAGGCCCTCCTGCCTTCCAGGGCCGTGGGCACCAGGCATCTGCCCTGGCTGCAGTGGGGTGGGGGCTCCTGAGCTGCCCGCCTAGGAAGCGTCCTGGTTCCCATGGACGCTCTCCCAGGGCCTTGACCCAGGGCCAGTGGTTGCCTGGGCACCAGTGTCCCCTCCTTTTTTCCTCAGTAGTGTCTGGCCTCCTCCCAGCCAGGTCCTGGTGCTGTGGGCTCTCCGACCACCCCTGCTCCCAGCCCCAGGATGGGCGAGTTCAACGAGAAGTCAACATGCGGCACCGTCTGCCTCAAGTACCTGCTCTTCACTTTCACCTGCTGCTTCTGGGTGAGGAGTCCGCGCCTGCCGCCCCCGACCCACCTTCTCCGCTTGTCCTCCCATCCCTGGTCCTTGAAGGGAGTCCTGGTCTGGGGCTCACATGTGGTAACTGAACCGGTGCACTGCCCACAGCTGGCTGGTCTGGCCATCATGGCCGTAGGCATCTGGACGCTGGCCCTGAAGAGTGACTACATCAGCCTGCTGGCCTCGGGCATCTACCTGGCCACAGCCTACATCCTAGTGGTGGCTGGCGTTGTTGTCATGGTGACCGGTCTCCTGGGCTGCTGTGCCACCTTCAAGGAGCGGCGGAACCTGCTGCGCCTGGTCAGCGGGGCATGGCTGGCACTGGGGGTGGGGGTGCCTGGTGGGGGGCTCCCTGTCTGGCTGGCTGGGGCTGGAGGAAGGGACCGACAGGGGTCACGTGTAACACTGCAGTGTAGCCTCTGCTGTGTTCACCTGGCGGGGGGTGTCCCTTCCACCTGCCCAGCCCTCCTGGGAACCCCCAGCGGGGGAAGACACCATCTCCGAGAGGAAGCCCTCACCTGCAGTCTGGAGCCCTCACTCTGGCCACTTGGGAGCGGAGGGTGGGGACTCTGTTGAGCCGACACTGGGAACTGCTGAGGGATAGGGTGTGTGTGCCCCTTTCCTGTCCCTGCTCACCCCCCCACCTCTCTGCCCCAGTACTTCTTCCTGCTCTTCTTCATCTTCCTGCTGGAGATCGTTGCTGGTACCCTCGCCTACGTCTACCACCAGCAGGTAGGGAGCCTGGACAGGCCACATGGAGACACGTACACACAGACCCCCCGCAAGCACCAGAGCTGACCACTGTGCCATCAGGCCCTAGAGATGGGGGCTGGGTCACTGGGGGTAGGGTGCACTGTAGGGGTTCATGGGGGAAGGCAGGTGTTCCTAGTACCTGGAGCTCTCTCCCCGCCCCCGCCCCTCCCCATGGCCACCTGGGTGACTCCCAGCCCACCTGACCCCTTTCCCTCGGAGCCCTCCCCACACCCCTCCCAGCATCTGCCCCACCTTGGAGGGTCTTAGATCATGGCTGAAGTTACCACCATCTTGCCTCCAGCTGAACGTGGAGCTCAAGGAGAACCTGAAGGACACCATGACCAAGCGGTACCACCAGCCAGGCCACGAGGGCGTGACCAGCGCAGTGGACAAGCTGCAGCAGGAGGTTGGTGGGTGGCTCAGGGAGGGGCCTTTCTGGGACCTCTGCAGGAGTCCGGCAGGGTGGGTGGGGCAGGGACTCAGCCCTGGCCGACTCCCCGCAGTTCCACTGCTGTGGCAGCAACAACTCCCAGGACTGGCAGGACAGTGAGTGGATCCGCTCTGGGGAGGCAGGTGGCCGCCTGGTCCCTGACAGCTGCTGCAAGACCGTGGTGGCTCACTGTGGTCAGCGGGACCACGCCTCCAACATCTACAAAGTGGAGGTAGGTGGGCGGGCCTGGGCTCCCTGTGAGGGATGCTGGGTGCTGGAGGACTTGCCTACCTTCAGCGCCCTCACCCCTACCCTCCCAGGGCGGCTGCATCACCAAGCTGGAGACCTTCATCCAGGAGCACCTGAGGATCATCGGGGCAGTGGGCATTGGCATCGCCTGTGTGCAGGTGCGGGCCCTGGGGCAGGGTGGGCCCTGGTGGGTGCAGGGACACACGGTGGCTGGTGGCCATGGCCCACTCACGCCGGCTCTGTGCCACAGGTGTTCGGCATGATCTTCACGTGCTGCCTGTACAAGAGCCTGAAGCTGGAGCACTACTGACCCTGCCCACGCTGGCCCTGTGCGCGCCTGTGCGCTGCAGCTTCTCGCGGAGACTACTGAGCTGATACTACTGACAGCCAGGGAACTGGGGTCCCTGGGTGCCTCTCCCTCCCCTCCCCCTGTGCCATCCTCCACTACCATGCCATCATCATGCCCTCTGGGGACCCCCACCCCAGAGGGAGCTTCAAGTGCCTTTAGCTGCACACCAAAGTCCTGAGGCAGGGTCCCCTCCTGCAGTGGGGGAGGGGCAGCACTGCTGCCAATGGGGGGTCCTGGTCTTGCTGGTGTGGGGGGACTGGGTTCTGACAATAAAGTGCCCCCCTCCCACAGGCCACCTCCCTTGGGGGAGTTATGACACCTCAGGGTACTCCCTGATGCCTGTGCTTAGTTGGAAACATAGAGATGGGCTGGGTTGGCCCACCCTAGGGTGCTCCTAGCCCCTTGGACACACCCCACATGGTGTGGGGCAGAACTTGGAGGGGTGTTGCTGTGTGGGGTAGGTGGAGGAGGATGTTGATCAGCTGCAGGTGAGGAGCTCCACGTGCTTGCCACCAGGTCAGTGCCACCCATGTCCCCAGGGTCCCACACCTCTGCCGATCCCCCTGGTCCCAGCCACCTGCTCTGCTGAGCCTGCTTTGTCTCCCACTGCTGTCACCATCATCAAAATGGCCACAATGTTCACTGCTGTTTCCCCTTGCCCGGGGGCAGGGTCTGGGGGCTCATTCACTGCTGTATTACAGATGCCTAAAACTGCCCCAGCACATAGTAGGTGCTCAATAAATATCTGTGGGTTCACAGGTGGACTTACTGCATCATTGAGACGGTTCTGGTCCTCAGAGCCCTCACGTCTAGCAGGGTGGACAGACCCAGCTATCCACGGTCATGACTAAGGAGGGCAGGGAGCCAGGAGGGCAAATCCTAGGGGTCCAGGACAACCAGGTGTGAGCTGAGAGCTGACAAGACTCAAGGGGGCACTGAGCAAAGGCCTTGAAGCAGAACTTCACACATTCTGGGAAGATGGTGGTGTGGCTGTGAGCCAGCTGGGAGAGGTGTGAGGCCTGGGGTCTGGCAGGATGTGTGCTGTTAATGGGAGCCAGGGCTCAGCCACTGTTCCTCTCCGCCCTGGTGGCTGCCTCCCTTCCTCTGAACTTTTCTGCACCCTGTTGGTCAGAAGGCACCAGGGCCCCCCTGACCCTTCCCAGGGTGCCAGCTCTTCTGGCTGGCCCACAGGATTAAATGCTAGTGCCCAGGGTGCTGGGAGCTCAGCCAGACCTGACAACCAGCAGAGCCTCCTCAGGGCCACCTGTGACCTGCTGTGGGGATCTTGGGGGTAGTTGTGGAGGCCAGGTGCTGCCTCTCCCTTCTGCAGGAACTTGGGCAAGGGAAGGGGCCTACTGAGCTTGGGTGGAGCCTGGAAGCTTCTGGCAGCAGAACCCTCAGAATGGGCAGCTGTGACCACAGCTGGCACTCTACTCAGAGCCCAGATCTGGTTCTTTAAGTCCTGGGAGAGAGGATGTGTAGACCTCTGTACTCAACCTAAAGAGCATCCAGAACACAGGGGTGGGGATGCCAGTGCTCCAGTACTCTCTGCCTGTGTCTTGGGGGGTCTGTAACCCCCCTCCATAGGGAGACACCTCAGGCTGAGCAACTGCCATGGGGATGACTCTCCCTCCTCCCAGGCAGTAAGGGCCCCACATTCACCCCCATGAGACCTCAGGCATGAGGCAGAACACAAGTACATGGGTGGCGGGGGTCCCATAGAACCAGACCAACTGTTAGGACCTCCTTATGGTTCTGCAAAGACCTTTACTAGATGGTTCCTTCCAGAGCAGAAAGGACAAACGTCCACACAGCTGTGGGCAGGCATTGCTTCCAGCTACCCACACCTCAGTGAAAGGAGCTCTGGCCAGATGCTGCCAGGGTCTGCACGGTCACTTCTCCAGGGGTGCATAGTTGAGTAGCTTCTCAATCAGGTCCACGTGGGCCAGCAGCATGCGGCGGCAGCAGTAGCGCTTTAGGCCCAGTGCATCCAGGGCATCCCTGCAGGCAGGAGAGAGCAGGCTGTGGTCTGTTCATCTCAGCCTCAGTTGGCTGCTGTGGGATCTCCCCTCCAGGAAGCCACCCTGCCCATTCCCCAAGCCAAAAGAGCCCCCAGTTTCCCTGCGACCCAGTCCATTCACCGAGGCCTCCAGAAAATTCTCACACTGTTGGCCCCAATGTGCAGAGGTGGCAGTTGGGAAAGGGGAGACCAGGCAGGGAGGTCCTGTGCAGCCTACCAGCTGCTCCCTCACTCTGGTCACCCTAGCAGCCTCCTCAGGGTCCTAGTGCAAGCATTCAGCCCACCCATGGCTTCCCTGTTCATCCCACACCTGCACAGAGAGCCTATGGCATGCCGGCAGGCCCCACGCCCCAGGGGTTCAAATGTGACCAGGACATGGGCTGTCCACAAACTGGCCAAGGGTGAGATGAATGCAGAAGAGACTCAGGCAGGCACGGTGGCAACCGCCTGCTAAGGGGCAAGCACAGAGAACAGACACTGCAAACGCCTCATGATGACAGCTGTGTGGTCAGGAAGCTGTCAAGTGGGGGGCTTGCAGGACATGTTGTGGCCCCAATAGCAGAGAAAAGAGGTTAGGGAGAAGGTGGACAGGGAGGAGGCTGAGGGCTTAACTGGTGGAGAGGTCAGGGGATACCTAGAAGCCCCCAACACCAGTGGCTTGATGCCCAACTCCCCTCTTTTCCCCAAACTGTGGGGGGTAGGGGAGAGGGCAACACTCTCCAGAGAGCAAGGCTGGAAGGGACTCTGAGGCTGAACATCTATGCAGGATGACCTGGAATTGGATGTGAATGCAGTGGACCGCCCTGCCTGCCGGGCAACCTGGATCACGACCCCACCTCCCTGCTCTCCGACCTG